TGTGCTTCCTTTAATTCAAATATTTATTTTTTACTTTTTCATGAAAAAGTGTTTTATGTTTTAATGTATTATATTTGACTTAATTCTTTTTGGAAAAAAAAAATTTTTTTTCATAATAAAATACATAATATTTGAAGTAATTCATCGTGAAAAAATATTTTCACAATTGAATATACCTCTCCGATGTTTTGTCAATAATATTTGACGTAATTCTCCGTGAAAAAAAAAAATGCAATCACCGATTAATCCAAATTCTTCCGCATCCCATAAGCAAAACATTATTGTGCGTCGTGGGCGCCATTTGATTGACTTTTTTAGTGTTGACAAAACCCGTGCCATCTCTAGCATTGTACCCGTGGCGGAAATTGGATCAATTGAACCCTTCAAAAAAGAAAAGAATAAACAATTATTTTCTTTTTTTAAGTTATCAATTATTTAATCAAATAAGTAAGTTAATAATAAATAAAATTTATAATATTTTATATTGAGATAAAAAATATAATCACTTCATTAATTTCATCTTCATTTATTTATTTATTTTTATTTTTGTCATTTGGACGATAATGTTTTTACGTGAAATAATTATCGCTTATGTTACACAACAATGATATTGATGGTATCAATGGTTTTTTATTTCTACGTGTAATTGCCACGTAATTGAGAAGAAAAAAAAGAGAACAAAACATATTCAACAATAATTTTCCTAAATAATAAATAGTTAGATTATTTTTAGAAAAAGGAAGTACTAATTAATGCTTAACAAAAAGATAACAAAAATGAATAAAAAATAGATCCATGACTTTTTTTTTGAAGATACATATTTTTCTCATTGATAAAGAAAAATTTTACACTGCAAAGTTTTCATTTATTGATATTACATCAATCAAGAGAAATAAATAATAAATATAAACATAATTAAATAGATATACTAACATAATTAAGTATAATATAATTAGTATATAATAGATACGACAAAATCAAAATGATGAAAATTACAGTTGCACTTTTTTTGATAGCTTATATGTTCATGATATTATAAATATCTTAATGATTAATTATCAGTAGTATTAGCACTTTAAATGAAATAATTAACAATAATTAATAATAATATAATAATACCTTAACCCAGGCATCATAATGATTACTGAAGAGTACGTAACGATCCGGTTCTTCACGTCCAAACATTGTTGCTACAATATTGGTGACAATACGACGGGTGCAAGCAGAATGTACGATAAGACGAAATATTGCTGAACCAGTGATACGATATGTCACATTCATAGATCCTACCCAGCCATGCAACTATAAATTTTTTTTTGAAAATATTTTTGAAAATATTAATATACATTTGAAAATATTAAAAATTTGTTAGCCTTAATTATTATTAGTAAACCATAAAGAAGTATGCATTCGTATAATTAGAAATGAGCAAATAATTAAATAAGGTTCGGCTGAAAGGCTAAATATTTATTACATTTTAAAATCAAATATTTTAAATAAAATATAGATAGTTAAAAATTAGATAGATACAAATAGTTAAACAATGAAATATCGATAGTTAAAAATTAAATAAATATTGTTAATTAATGAAAATGATTAAGGAAGTACATTGAAAATTTAACCTTAACTTGTGGTCCATTAAGATTTTCCATTATTTTTCGAGCATCACGATAACCAATAGGCATTACCGGAATTGATGGCATTATTTGTTTTTCACGTAAATTTTTTTCCGTTTCCGTGCGATAAGTGTAGTATTTCGATGGTAATAATGGTGTTTCCGGATCACCATCCGTTTTTAACAACGTTCCACGTTGTGCACCTGATTCTGGTAACCAAATTTCATCTGGAAATACCTGAAATATCATATATTATGGAAACAAATCTCTTTCCATTACTGTGGAAGATTTGAAAAAAATAATAATTACGAAATTTTTATGTGCAAATTCAGATTAAGTCATTAAAATTGCTTTTTATTATGAGTGAAAAAAAAAACATTTTGTAATTGATTAACCCAAAATTTAAGAAACTGAAAAAAAAAAGAAAGAAAAACGGAATACGTTAAGCACTAATATCAATTAATTCCTTCCTTTCACTTTTTTTTTGCTAAAAATTTTGGAAATCGTTTTATTGAAATTTATAGCATTCAAGTAATTTAATTAAAAACTTTTTTCTCTCCTTAAAATTACCTTTGCATTATTTCGTCGATTTGTATAATCAAATGGATCACTGTATAAAATCATTCCAATAGCGCCATGTTTAACAGCAAGTTGCACCTTATCACCACGAAATATTGCACCATAACGACACAATGCTATTTTACCTTTCAATGATATTCCATACTGAAATTACCTTACTTCCATCACAATAAATAATTTTTGCATGTAATTTTCAAAATTTCCTTTTATTTTGTGCAAATAATTCCACTGACATTATTTCTAATGAGCAAAAAATTTCAGTAATTCATGTTAAAGTCGTGAAGAGCGCAATGTCGCTCAGATCGTAATTTTTAGTTTCTGATTTTCTAGAAGCAGAAAATTATGTATTTTGAATAATTTCTTCATTTTTTATAATTAATTTCTAAAATACTTGAATCAAAACAAAATGTAGTTATTATTAAATTGGAAATAATTTTAATATTTAATATAAATATAATTAATATTTAATGAGAATGATTTTTCGTATTTAATATACGTATAATTGGTAATTAATCATAAATAGTTTTTTTAATTTAATATAATTATAATTAGCATATAATTAGGAATGATCTCTTTACTTTTTAATACAAACGTAATATTTAGTTAGAGGTGTTTTTCACATTTAATGAAAATATAATCAATATTTATTGAGAAATAGTTTTCTTTTTTTTCTTGCGATATTCGGTATGAATACAATCAATGTTTAATCAGATTTTGCAGAAATATGTACTGAATGAAACAGAAAACTAATGTTTCATTAATTTGGAAAAAATTAAGAACCAGCATTTATCATATGTTCACCAAAAAGAGTTTTGCTTTTGATTTTATATTAAGAGGCATTATATTACAGATATTAAATTAATAAAAGTTCTAATTTTAAAAGTATGAATTTTAATATTAAAACACATTACAAATATTAAAAAGTTTACAATAATATTTAATACAGAATAGCTATTAAATTAATCATACGAAAATTCTAATGCTAATTGAACATAATAACACTACTTGACTTTCATATTCATAATTCAATCCAAATTCATATCTATATTCAAATTTAATCTTGTAATGATTTAGTTTTTATTTAGCTTGAAAAATTTTCTTTTTATCATTTCCAAAATGAACAGGAAAAAATGAAAATTTTTAAAGAATTGAAGTGTTTTAATTCTCAGTACATAAATATTTTCTTTGTTTTTTTGTTTGTTCAAAAGATCGAGTAACATATAAATAAGTATAAAATGTATGAAGTGAATTAGTGATAATTATTGATTGAAATTAATGAATCAAAAAGGCGAATAATTTTCAATTGTTATACCTTATAATATTAAGTGAAATTAATAAATTAAAAAAAAAGAATGATTACTACTTGTTATACCTTATATAATCGTTTGTAATCATTGATTGTTCCATAATTAACATAAACTATTGGCCCAATTACTGTACCATTCGCTGAATAAGCAGCCCAGTAAACTAATGCACGCGGATCATTTTGCTAAACAATCTAACTTTATTTCTTTTTCTTTCTTTTTTTCTTTAAATTATTTTATACGATAATTTTATTAAAATAAGACATGTTCGATTTAGCTTTTCATAATTTGAGTAATCTAATAAAACATTATAATTGTAAGGTATACATACATATATATGGAATTTAAAATATTATCAAAGAGAATATAAATAAAATTTTAAATATTTAATCAAATTTTTTTTACTTGTTCTTGTGCTTCTTTTGGACCAACTCGTTTAGCAAGGCCATTACTAAGCTCTTTCCATTTTTTATCGGCCATTTGTAATTCAATTCGATTTGGCTTTTCATAATTTGGATAATTTAATAAAACATTATAACTGTAAGTTTTTACATCATATCCATATGTGTTATACTAAAAATATTACAAATAAAATAAGAAATTTGTTCTAATCTTAATTAAATTCCTTCAAAATTTTTTTTTAAACCATCTTATAAATTAAATCTTAATAAAATATATCGCTCTAAATTTTCGATGAAATTTCTTATTTAGCAGCAATTTCTATTTCAATTAAATACTTCACGCTGTAATTTAAACAATAAATTTTTATAAACAATTTTTAACATTTTAAAATTACGCTCACTGCTTAAATGAAGAATAAAATAATTTAAAATAATTAATCATTTTACCTTATCAGCAATTTTCCTCATAAGTTCGGCATTTTCTTTGGTACCTGCAACGTGCATTTTTTCGGAGAGCCATTTGATATTCTTTTTGATATTGGAAGCATTAAATTCATCCATCAATTGTTGACTAATTTGAGTTTGCTGTAATATTTATCCTCGAAATATAATTTAATTCATTTAAAAAAAAAAAAAAAAATTTAATTGGAAAATAAAACAAAAGTGAGCAGAATTGCAAGATGAAAAATTAAATGTAAACGGAACACTATTTTTTACAGTTTTAAAAAAATGTGAAGTTATTATTTTTTTCAATCTTTTATTTCTTTCGTTTAATTATTTATATTAATCTGCTTGCTAATTGCATAACATTGTTTTGATAATTGATAAGCATATATCAAATAATATCAAATGTGAATGATTAATTTGACAGGAGGAAAAGGAAAAGAAAAGAAATGAAAGCATACAAATGAAAAAATTATAGTGAATATTTATGAATATGAATAAAATAAAATTTGAGTATTTTTTGTGAATGAATGATAATTATGTTTGAATTTTGCTATTTACTTTCTCTTACAAATTTTTCATCAATGATTTTTATTTATTTATTATTTTGCAAATGAAAAATTTAGTGGGTAGTAAATATAAATAAAAATATTACAAGTTATAAGTGTCAAATATTATAATTAATTTGAATACTTATCAGTGTTTTATTATTATTTGATCTATTATAACTAACTACCGGAGGTAACACGTATCTATCATGAATTATTAACCACGGGTAATAGAAGGGTAACAATAAAGTTATATCTTCGCTCAAATAGAAGAACAATTTAAACAACATTTAAAGAGAGAAAAAGAAGGAAAAACAATAAAAGAAAAGCTTTACAATATTCATTGAAAAATTAAAAAAAAATTTTAATGCTCACTTATCAAATGATTACTCAGAATTATTGATATTTGAGTAAGTATTGCATTTCCAATAATAAAGAACATTAAAATAAGAACATTAAAAAATATTTTTTACTTATTAATTGATAATAATCATTGATTGATTAATTAATAAAAGTGATCGATTTATGATTTTCATTAATTAAGCAATCATTTGTGCTTCAAAAAAAATTTTTTTTTCTAGAAATCTTGATTAAATAATCAATATAAAAAACAAATGTTGAAAAAACAAGAAAACAAACAAAAAGGGAAAAGAAAAAAAAATTGATTAACCTGATCCGATATTTGACGTATTCGATGGGTAAAGGTAAAATTCGTTACGGTTTTACTAAATCGATTGTTGTTAGTACGTTGTGTACTCAAATATATCACCACTATCAGTAATATTGTTATCACCATAAAAAATATCAGTACAATAAATAATAATAATGGTATTAATGTTGTATTTTGTGTCATTGAAATTTTCATTTTTGATTTTTTCGTTGAAATTTGCATATTTGATTTTTGATTAAATAATTGATATAGTGTAATATTATCATTATTATGATATAATTCATCTTGTTTGTTAATATTTTCATCCATTTGTCCAATATCATTCCAATCATAATTACATTCCATTGTTATACAACTCCCAAAACTTCCGCGATTTTTTCGATTTAATAATAACCAGTGAATTTCATCATCTATAAATTTTATTTTATTATTGATTCTTCATTATATTCAATAAATTTTAATTAATTTCAAATAATATTTTTGAATAAAAAAAAAAGAATTTTCTTTTCTTCATTGCAAAAGATCATATGTTCTGTTTTATTTTATAATACTTCATTCTTGAAAAAAAAAAAAAAAGTTTTCACCATCAAATTTCTTTTTTAAATGCTTTTTTTTTAAGAAAAAGAATGAAAAATAAAAATATGGCAAGAAAAAAATGACATAAATTAAGAAAGTAGAAAGAGGTTTTAGCAAAAAAAAGGATAAAATTAAAATTATACAAAAAAAAAAAAAAAAAAAAGAAAGAAAAAGAAAAACAACAGATTAATTAATTTTGCTTACTTTATCGTTTGTTTTGTAAAATTGTAAATCTTTTTTTTGTCAAGAAAGAAAAAAAATTTCGCATTAAAATCTAATTTTACCATTTTGTGTATGATATGACGTGAATTGTAAAGCAGAAGCGGTACTAAGTGATGTGGAAGCAGTAGCCGTATTATGGCAATATTCTATTTTCGGCACCTTTTCATCACTTAACGATAACGAACGTTGTAAAATGTTGTTTGTTGATAATTCATAATTCATCAAATCTAATATTCCCTCTTTCATTGATTCGTCTATTTAGTATTGCAAATTTAAAAAAGTCACTTCAAAATCTGAAAATAAGTAGTAAACATTTTTAGTTTAATTACATGTTTTAATTTCATCTGATAGTTTATTAAAAGGAGAAATCAAAAAAATTAAAAAAATTTGTAAATCATGAAAAAAAAAATCAAATTTATAGGAAAATCATAAAATTTATAGAAAAAAGCGCACAATTTCTTCAACGATTTATTGAAATATTAAAAACTTCTATTTCATTTCATTTAAAACAATTTCAAACAAAAAAAAAAAAGATAACTTTAATTTGATTTTAAAAACACTAAAATAATTATTAATTTCTGTTGGTAAGTTTACAGAGTATCAACATAATTTTGTTGAATAACTAACATACTTTTTTATATAAATGCACATTGAAACGTTCATTTTAATGCTTTGAAATTTTCTTGTCCAATTATTTAATTGCGTAGTGTTTGATCTAAACTTTATTTTACCATAAGTCCCAAAAAAAGTGAAGGAAGAAATGTAAATATATTAAAGAAGCATTAAATAATTAGTTTCTTCTATCTGTCATAACAATAATAATAATAATAATAATAGTAATAATAATAATAATAATAATAATAATAATAGTAAATAAAAATAATAATAATGGTAATACTAATAAAAATAATAATGGAATAATAACACATGAATAATAACAAGCATTCCCGAAGGAATTTAAACAGAAGCATAGTTTATCAACAACTTATTTAAATCGTAAAAAATCAATTTGAAGAATAGTTTCACTTCTTTAGCTGAATGGAAAAGAATAAAAGAAAGGCGTAAAGTTTGCTTTACTATTTTACACATTCAAATAGCTATGTCTATCTGTTGTTCAAGCCTTTTTTTTTTAAAAAAATTCGTTATTACTTCAAATGGATTCTTTTTCTTTTTTTTTTTTCGTTTTTTTTTTACAATATTCTTTATTGGTTAGTTTGGTTTTCTTTTTTGTTTCATCCTCTTACAATTTCTTTTTTTTTTTCTATTGATAAGAATTTTTGCTAACAACGGAAAAAAAAAAGGAAAATTTTTCTAACAATAAATGAAATAATTAATATTTTTGAAGTCATTTTAAAAACAAATCTTTTCAAATTTGAACATAATTTCGACTTCATAATCATTCGATTGAAAAAAAAGAACAAATTATTTGACAATATTAATCTTTAAATTACAAATAATTATTTGACAACGATCAATCTTTAAATCACAAATACTCATTCATGCATTATAATTTGTAATTTTGGATTGTTCCTTTTTTATGTTGTTTCCTTTACTTTTAAATTTAAAAAATTTTCCTTTACTTTTCTTTCTTATTTTTTCTTAACCAAAAAAAAGAAAAAATTAGATAACGTTTAAATATTGAAGTATTTCTAATTTATAACAAATATACATTATACAAACTATTCATATAAATATAAATAAATTACTTTGTACAAAACTTATATTCAAAAATTGGAGCAAAAAAAAAAAAAATGAAAAGGAACTTTAACCTTTTAGATAACATTTTGATATTCATTGTTAAATTTCCCTCATAATATAATTCATTGCTTATATCACTACATCTATTTAAAATACTAAAGGGAGGAAGGTATAAGAGAAAGGGAGAAAGAGAGAGAGAGAGGGAGAAGGAAAAATAGAACGGAAAGAAAGTTTAATTATAATAGTTTTAAAAGGAGTGTAAAATTATTTTCATAATATTTCCACTTCAACTGCTACTCAACCATTCATCATTTTTATAGATCAAATTACAAATTTTAAATTTTAGTAACCTGAAATATGATATATATCTAATTGAAATAATTAGTAAATGACAAATTAGTATAATGTAGAATAAGATAGAATAAAAAAGAGAGGGAGAGAGAGAGGATGAGAGTGAGAATAGAAAAGTGTTAAAGAATAGTTTTAGAAAATGAATTAGAATGATGGGAATAAAAGGGAAAAAGAAAAAAAGATAAAAAGCAAATGTGTTTTGTTTGTCAAATTGTGAATATTTTTTTGTTTGCCACTTTAACTCAATGCATCAAATCTTTCCATTTTGCTTTTTATTCATTTCATTCTTTATGACAACAAACAGTTTGTTAAAATGAAAAGCTTTTCAAATATTTTTTTCTTTTCTTTTTTCGCTTTTTTTTTTGCTTTTTTTTTTTTTTTTTTTTTTTTGTCTTTTTTTTTGTTTTTGAAGCTGATATCTATCATTCATTTCCAAAATTTGAATCTTCTTTTTTTCAAGTTGATCCTTTAAAAAGAAGAAGAAGTGGAGTAGTAAATGATTATATTATCGTTAAAAATTGAAATTTTAATTTTAATCTTATCCAAAAATTTTTATCTTGGATTTTGGAGAAAACTTTTTTTTCTTAGATTTTTAAGAATAGATTAAATTATTAGCAAATATATGTTTGTACTAATACTTTTAATCAGACTAAGATTGAAATTTAAATTTAATTTATGCCAGGAATTTTTATAAAATAAACAAGAAATGAGGGGAAGAAATTAAAATTTGTTTTGAGAAAGATTAAAAAGTGCTATGAGTTAATTTAAATGAATGAAAAATAGGATCAGTGATGCTATTCTATTTGTATTATTGATTTAAAACAATTAAAAATTCATTCAGAACTAATTTCAAATTCAAAACCGCATCATATAATATAACAGTTATACAAGAAAAGTTAATTATGCAAATTATTTATCAGATATGCATCTAAAACGATTGAAATTCATTCATATTCAATTTTATCTTTAACTGAAGAAGACATAATTCACAAAGTTAAATTATACGTTTTTTTTTTTTTCTCTTCGAATTTAATGGTCATTTCCGTCTCATT